TTTTTGGATTTTGGGTCATGGAGGGGTATCTTGGTAATTTGACCATTTTTTTTGGAAATTTTGGCAAATTTGGATGTATTCAAGGTGTTTGAAATGGGTTTTGATCAATTTTGGGTAATTTGGCAAAATTTGGGAATTTTAGCCAAATTTAGGTCCCAAGGGCTGTTAGGTAATTTGGAGGTGCCTCGGGGCAAAAGACCAATGTCGGCATTTCACATAGAATTGGATAGATATCCATTCTAAATGAACCATGGATTAATATATTGTGAAGATATGGTGTACCCTAGTTCCAAGTCAACCCCCTGGGTCAATCCTAAAGCCAAGTAATCCTATAGGGACTCTTCTTGAATTCTCTTATAATGATCTTATCTACTAAATGCTAGAGGTTAAGATCATTATGTGGAATTTCAAGTTGAGTAAAAAGAAAAGTTTTGAATTTCTAATGGTGGGGTACCTTTTCTAATTTTTTAAGACTAGTCAATAGGAAAGTCCTATGGCTAGACCTAGGCTACTAAAGAAGTTTCTAGACCTCAACCAAAAGTGAGGTCAACATGGACATATATGCTTCAACTTGAAAGGAAGTATTAGAATATTAGCATAATTATTATGCTAATTAATATTGCAGTTATTATTAGCTTTTATTTATTTATTTTTAATTTTCCGTTTCCATATTTATGTATTTTCTAGTTTATCTATCTTTGAAATTATGTATTTCCTTTTATTTGGGTCATGTAAGATGTATTTATGCTCATTTTCCTATCAATGAAAGTATGTAGCTCTATTGTCTAAATTTGACAATATATATAATCCTATTGGGATAAATAAAGTTTTCTTTATACATGTTTATTATTTTTTTTACGCATATGAAAAAGAGGAATAAAAGAAAGACCAAAATTTTTACATAAAAGAATTCTAAAAAAAATAATCATATGGCTCCTCCGCACACACGATGAATGATCCATTATGTAATTAAAATTATAGAGTTGTATTCTTTTTCTCAACTATAGGTGATAAAAAAACAAAGTAACACAATCAAACTTGGTCTTTTATAAATATAGTAAAGTTTGAAGTAGTGCCGGGATACTGGTGATGGTCGAATGATGTTAGTTGGACAACAATGATAGCCGGATAACAACAATCGAAAAGCAGTTGTTGGATGATGATAAACAGACTATGAAACGCAAAACAAACAAAAGGTTGCCCCAAACAAACTTATAGTTTAGTGATTGAGTTCTTTGTCTATTTTCAGTCTTAAGTTCAAGGCTTAGCAAATATGGACATGTCCGTGGGGTAAAAAAAAGAACTATAATGAAAACGTGACAAGAGTGAAAAGAAAAGCTAGTTAAAAGACATTTTCCTCACCAAAAAATCACTAGATAATGAGTTATACCTGTTAAATAATTAAATAATAACAAAAACAAAAAAAGCAATAATTATGCCATTAGAATCCATTATTACAACATCTGGTAGGAATATTTTTTTGGCTTTTAATTTTCTGCGGTTGCATTGAAGAGCTGAAAAGTTTATCATGTAACCTCCAAAATTGAAATTAAACATGTTTTGTCCTGTTTCCACCAAGAAAAAAGAGTCCAAAAAACGGATTATGACATGAATGTTTGATTTACAATGACAAAATTCAAAAAGGTTGCATGATGGTTAAGTTGGCTAATACGAACAAGGCAATTTCAAAGAGAGAAGAAGGCCATTTAAGGGGTAGAATTTATTGATGCAAACAAAAACAATCACTTCTAGCTGGCTTTATCTACACCATGTGGCAGACAAAGACTGAATATAACTCTGAAGTGACGTTCATCATTCAACAATTTCATATTTTCACTGCCAACCAAAAATGGAATGCAAAAAGAAACAATATGGAGTTACCTTTTTTTATCAATGCATAACAAAGAAAAAATCAACAAGAAAAAAATTAAGGAGAGGGTAATCTTGAGGCAAGAGGATCATGCATCTGGTTCATCTTAAACATCATTTGTTTTAATCTTGATCTTGCTAAGAGTTATTAGAACTATTATGTATTAACATTATAACATATGCTTAATACTTATTAGTAATCTTAAGTATTTTTTATTAGGGGAATTTACATACATATCATCAAATTCTTATGCTTTACTTTTCTCACACCCAAACTTTGATTTTTACACCGAAAGCACCTGAGAATAGTGTAATCCACCTTTTCATACATAGGTTAGGGCGCTTAGGGTATAAAAATCAAAGTTTTGATGTGAGATAAGTAAATGGATAAGAATTGGGTGCTATGCATGTAAATTTCAGTTATTATTAACATGTGAACTTTCTGTAGCATCCTGAGTTTATGTATTATTTGAATTATTATGTCACCATATTAATATTATAATATCAGATTATATTAAAAATTATAATATTTATTAATCCAATATATCCTCCATTACAAAGAATATCCTCCATTACAAAGAATATCCTCCATTATACTTTTTGTATTGCTCTATTGTCTTTATCTTTATATAAGGCATGTTTGTGCTAGCAACAAGATAAACCAAGTAAATTAAGATGTAGCCCTTTATATTGTCCAACGTATCAGAGAATTTAAAGGTAAACTTTAAAATTGGACTGACTTCTTTTATTAAAACTTCAGGGGCAAGAGACACCCTAACCATTCATTAATAGCAAGACTACTGGTCATTCACTTTTGCACCAGCCTAATATAAGCCATAAGTTGATTCAATATTTAATCTATTATGATCAAAATTATTAATAATCCTAATAAGAAATAATAATTTAATAAATTTATCAAAGAAAAATAAAAAATTGAGGTATAGTATTTCATTAGGAAAACAATAAAGTGCAAATGTTCTTTATTGCAAAAGATCAAAACACCACAACTCAATTAATAACTTAACATGGGTCTCACTTTAGTGCCCGTAACAAATAGTTCGGTCCGCATAGCCACTAATTTTCAAGGAAGAGTCCAAGGTTCAAATCATCCCCTAAAACTAGAACATCAAACAATAACTAGTTTTCCTATTAGCTAACTTAGCCAGCTTATATATGTTTAGAGGAGCTCTTACTGTTGGTATGTTGTTGTTTATCAATTGCATCAACCATCTGATTTTGCTGCTTCATACCCTACAATAAAGCTAAAGCATTAAACCCACTCCAAGAGTTACAAAAGTATAAATTACCACCAAGATTAAAATTCAGAAACCTGAGGAGGTATTTGCATTTGAGGCAAGCCAAGGTAGCTTAAATATTGCTCTGGAAGATGAAAGTTATGGATCTGGGTGCTGAAATTAATAGAATTTGGGCCCTGAAGCGGACAAGCAGGTGGTTGGTTTGTTACAAAAGTTTCAGGTGTGGTAGACTGAACACCAGATGGAGCCCTTGGTAGTTGAACTGGGTTTGATATTGTTGCCATTGAATGATGATTCACATACTGTTGAATATTTGGAAGAAACATTGGTGCCATTCCATTTCTCATCCACATTATCTGTGATAAATCATCAAGAGATAGAGGATGTTGAATTTTGGGCAAAGTGCTAAAATAGTCCTCGGGCTATTTCAAGGGGTAATTTTAGTGTCAAAGTTTATTAAAGTGCTAAATTGGTGCCCAAATTGTTTTAATAGAGGCTAAATAGTCCACACTCGGACTATTTGAACCCATATTAAAAGGGATTGGGACTAAATTGATATGTTATAAACTTGGTGACTAAAATAACCCCATTCAAAGACTCAATGGATCATTGACACTTTTCTCATTGAACTTTATTTTAAAAAAAAAACTATTGCATAAAGAATGGTGTAATAATATTTTTTCATACCTGAAGTTGTAATTGTAGTGATTTCAAATACTCAATTGCTTCATCAAGCATTGATGCTTTATCTGACTAAAAAATTCACCATAATCACAAAATCAAAGGCCAACAAATTATGTTCATCATAAAGATAGGACTTTCCTTTTTTTTAATATATATAATATAAAACGTCATTTCAACAAGAGGCCTAGTTTTCCAAAGCTATAATAAAGACTTCACCTTGTTGCAATGAGGGATGAGCTCTTGCAAAGCCCGCATCTTTTCATTGATCTTGTCCCTTCTCCTCTAAATGAAAAATTTCATGGTGAGACAATGAAGTATAACTATTAACTGTTTTTTACAGAATCCTACCCTCTCTGACAGATTATGAACTTCAGATGAACGATTTTTGCGGCCAGACGCTAATCGTTGAGTTGGCTTTTTGGCTTCTGCGGACTCATACTCGGTCTCCTACAAATTAGAAAAAAACTTAATTTTTTTTTACGTTAGAAAAGCAAAGATAATTTAAATCAAACCTCACTATGGAATTCCTCTCCATCCCTTCCCTTCCTCTTAACACCGTGATTGGTTGTGCTTTGCCTAGAGCCGCCAGATGATGAAGAAATTGCAGGCTCGTATATTTTCGCTTGCAAATGATCGAACGTAGATCTTGGTAGAGAGTCCTTCGCTCCTTCGACATAGCTCAAAACACTGCTGAGCTCGGCTTTGTTTTGAGCTTCATTACTTCCACAAACCAAACTTGATTGTATCTTTCTCATGGAGGATGAATCTCCCATGCTAATCACAGCTTCACTACTTGATGCTTCTTCACAAAATTTTCTTTTTTCTATTACCAAATCAGCCTTCTCCAGCTTTCTATAATTTGTAAATTTTACAAGGTTTGTGGCACTATGATCTAAGCTTGAGTTTGGAGCAAGCATCACATTTCCATGAGGATAGAAACTGAATTGCTTAGCACTAGGCATTCCATAGAAGAATTCTGAGAACTCTCTTTCGACAGAATTATCCAAAGGATATTGGAACCATGATGGAGTTTCCTCCTCAGCTATAAGATTACTTGAATTCACAATTGAGTCTTCACATTTCAGTAAAGATTCATGTTTTTTAGTTTGTTTTGATTCGAAAATGGCGGGCGGAGCACAAAAGTTGGTTTGGCCATGCAAGAACACATGGCGATTTCTCTTCAATAGCTCTATTAGCTCATTTTCTGGTCTGTAAGAAAATCACGAGCAGTAAAATTTATCTCCTTAAGGCTTGTTTTTAATTTTTATCTTTGCAAAAAATGGAACATTTAAAATGGCAAGGGGGGAGAAAACACTAACCCACTGCACTTCCTTTCATTTATAACAGGAAGAACATGGAAAGGTGTAGCATCCTCCTCCATTTTCCAATTAGGAAGACATCATCCATTCATCTCTTCTAAAACAATTCTGATTTTTAATATTAAAAGTAAGGAAAGAAAGTTACCGTTAATTAACGATTTGATCTTACAAATACATGGGGAACTTTTTTCGTAAAAAACGAAAAAAGCATTTTTATAGAAAACAACAAAGGGGAATTTACACATATATCTAGCACCTAAACTTTTTTACATTTAGATCACTATAAAGAATATCACCATTTTAGCTGTAAGAAAATGAAATACAACTTTTCATACATAGGTTAGAAGGTATGCATGTAAAAATTAAGATTTAGTTGTTATATATGTAAATAGATAGGAATGAAGTGCTATGCCTGTAAATCTTCCAACCACCAATATCTTGGGTGCTAATAGTAAGTCCAACTACATATTAATTGGGATAAAAAAACCAAGCAAAGAAAAAGCGAAGCAGGAGAATAAATCCAAACTAAAATAGTCAGCTTTTATGCAGACAAAGCTTTGTAATTCCCACCAGAGGAATAGCAGCATGAAACCAACTAAAAAAAAAGTTCATTTCATGTCATTTACAATGGAACAGGACAAGATAACATCACAGAACAATACATAACACCATCAATCAAAAGCTTAAACAACATAAAAACAGAAAAAATCTAAAGTAAGAAAAAATCAAAACAAAATACCAAATGAAACAAAAAAAAAGAAAAGAAGAAGAAGAACCTGTAAAGGGAATGAGAGCCAAACGAGGTGGATAAGGAGGTGCAGGAACAGAGAAGAACAGACCTTCTTCAAGAGCAGCCATTTCTGGCTCTTACTCTTCTGCAACTTTCCTCCTTCCTGAAGCTCCGATTGAGTGAAGAAATACCCCTCTCGCTCTCCGTCTATGGTTTTTGCTTCCTTCTGTTGCTTTTAACAAGTGGGAGCAGCTTGGTGCGCCGAATGACATTTGACAGTGCAGGTTGTATAACTTTGTTTTTGATTGACAAGATGACATCATTAACCTGTCGTCTGAAACGACCCTTTTGGTACTAATATAACGGGATGATTTTGCAAAAAGTCAAAATTTCTAATTTATTGCTTTTGGTTTTGAGCCACGGCAGGTTCCGTTACATATGTGCAATTACAAGTATGCCCTTCAAGCTCAGCTTGTCTGCTTTTTTTTTTCTTTTTTGAGAATTACGGTGTTCTAAACTTGCTTTTTAATTTAATTAAAATCGAGGGAGCATTTACATAAATAGTACATAACACTTAATTTATATATATATATATATATATATATATATATATATATATAAATAACTTTTTTTATATATATATATATATATATATATATATATATATATAAATAATTTACTTTTTATATTTATATCATTAAAAAAATTTATATTATATTAAAAATAGCACCATCTAAACTTTTAAAAAAGTGAAATATATTTTTCATGCAAGATATGACATATATATAAAATCCAAAATTTGATGTTAGATCTGTAAATAGATTATAATTGAATGTCATGTATGTAAAGTTTCAAAGGGCATTTACATGCACCCCACTTAATTCATATGTATTTATATATCTAACCTTTAAACTTTACATTTTTACATTTATATCACCTAAATCTGTCATACCACATAAAAACATCACCATTTTAACTCTTAATATTTGAAATTACACCTTTCATAAATCTAAAATGGGTTTTAATTAATTAACCATTAAGACTCTATTGTGTTTCTCAAATAAAACTTAGGGTAAGAAATTAAATTTTAAGGGTGAATTAAAATCTAACTAATTGAAGTATTTTAAAATTTATGAAAACTTATTAAAAAATTGATTCAAATTAGTCAAAAATTAATTTGTTTTTTTTATTTTTTTTTATTTGTAATGAAAATAAAAGATAGGGTTGTTGATTTTTACATTACAATTCACAAAATTGATTTCTTGAATGTGACAATATCATTGGAATTCAAGTGCAACATCGTGCATTTTAAACCTGAAATTACTTCGATCGTCCCCAAAGTAATTCAAATGACATTTGTTTGCAAAATGAATTGTATGAGTGTTTTCATTTTTTTTCTTTTTTTTTTTTGTTTGTATTCACCAACTTATCAATATATATATATATATATATATATATATATATATTTATATTTATTATATGTCACCGTCGTATAATTCTCATTTCTAAGTAAATCTCCATCTTGGATCATAGAAATGATTTGAAGGGGAGATGAATCAGAAAAGACGGGATATACGACAAAAATAGACAAAATTTTTTTATAAAAAAATATGGAGAGCTTATGTATAAGATAATCCTCGTGCGATAAATCGAGCGAATACGCCCGAATAAAATCAGATCAAAATACCTCAAAACACGATATTCACGAAGGAAATCCCTACATGAGTCACTCGTTACCAAAGAACAAACAAGAATGTTTTTGTTATGGGGTCAATAGTCCTCTTAAAGGAACTTATCCCTTTGATTAATTATATCTTAAGGGATGTCCAATAATACACTCAATAGAAGAAAACTTGTTTACATTATAATGATCGATGAATAGGTCACCAAAATAATGATTATTTCATAGGAACATCTCAATGCTTTCAAAGCTCTCGCTATGTCACAGGCGGAGAGTGAGTCTCTCACATCCCAAATGGGTAGCGACTCATCGACATATGTGACCTACAAAATATCCAAGTTGACTTATAGAATTCACATTATGCTTCCATGGTATAATCGAGCCATAAGGGTAGACGGTGAATCACCGTATCTCAAATAGGCGACGACCTATCCACAATGGTGACCTACGAGATGACACCAATGAAGGCATAAAAAGACGAAATGGCTCAAAAGGGCTCAACAAATGAGAGGTAGAGTGATCCTAGTTGGGTAGAGATAGTCTGGTTAGGATACGACAGATCTGTCATCCCAAGTTGTTAGGACTCTAAGTCTACTTGGTTGTGAAGGTAATTGACCCAACACAACTGGTGATTCCTTGTTAGTAATCTGTGAATTGCATTATACAAGTTATACTAAATTTGTGTGAAATTACCAAATGAGATTTTTCTCTAAAATTTTAAACAAATAAAATAATCGCTTTTTAAGCGCATGAAGATCTTCAACCCCACATAGATTGTTATTTCTCTAGTGCATACAAGAGATCAAGGAGTTCATGCATGCCAATGACCACTAGACACTTGGGGAACTTGATCACCGGTAGTAAAATCGATAATGATGTCAAAAGTGTCCGATCGGCAAAAAGGCATAAGAAACAACCGACAACGACGTCGCAGATATTCGACCGGTAATAAGGGCCTAGAGATGATTTGCTACACATCAACGACAAGCTCCGTGAGGGGTGCATAACTCCAAGACTTTCCCCTATGAGGCGAGCAACTCAAAGACTCCCTTCCGGGACAAGCAAATCCAAGACTTCCCTCTGAGGCGAACAACTCTAAGACTCCCCTCTGAGGCGAGCAGCGAGAAATTCAAAGGCTTCTCTCCGGGGCGAGTAGTTCCAAGACTCCCCTTCAGGGCGAGCAACTTCAAAACCCCCCTACGGGATGAGCAACTCCAAGACTCCCTTCCAAGGCGAGAAAAACTAAGATTCCTCTCAAGGGCGAGCAACTCCAAGACTCTCCTTTGGGGTGCAACTCCAAGACTCCACTAGGAGCAAGCAACTCCAAGACTCTTCCTCCGATGACAAACTTTCCTCCGACGATCGACTCCCCTTTGATGGCTGAATCTTCCTATGACGACATATTTTTCCTTTGACCAGCCATCAAAACCTGACAACTTTCCCTCGACAGAAAGAACTCCAGAATGATAAACTCAACAGATGACTACAAAGATATCAGAACCAAGCGCGAAAAACACCTAGCAAGGAGTATCATTAGTAATTTATATATTCACGATTTATTTGATTTATAAATTTTCTTATTCTTATTGCAGTTGTCCCTATCAAGGACCAATAAAATAAGGAAAATATGTATACTAAAAAATGATGTACACGAATCATGAGAAAATTTGACTGTCTAAAATAAAAGGATTAGAATGTCATTTGCTCTTATCTTTAAAACGAGGCTAAATATATAATTTTTATGTTTTTTGCCCCTCCTATCTTCTATAGATTTAAGGATTTTGGGGGGACTTTTTTTAGCTCCCCTCACTCGTAATGAACGGTTTTATGGAATAAAATTGATTGGAGAGCCCGGGAACACCCCATTTTTCTCCCACCGGGGGAGGCTTCATCTTCTCCTTCTCTCTCTCTCATTTCTCTCATCTCTATCGATCATCTTTTCTCAGTCCAACACTCCATTCCTTGGGGACGATCCACCAGACAGATTTAAATTCAACAGATACTAATATGTTATAAGTGTAAATATCAAACTTTGAGCGTTAGATTACCCAAAAACATAAGAATTGCTTGGTATGAATGTAAATTTATCATAAATCATTATGAAAGCTGTTGGCAGTGAAAACACCGACTCAGCTACCAAAAACTAATGTTGAAATATAGTATTTTCAAGCATAGCTTAGAAAGCTAATAGCAATCATAAACAAACAGTAATCATAAAAAATTATGAAGCTAAAATTTTTCCACAGGGAAGCCTACAACTGGTTGTGTTTCAGCTGCGAGTGAACGGAGTTCCTCAATCTCCTGATCTTTGAGCTTCCACCCAAGAGCGCCTGCAAACTCTGCAGCTTGCTCTGAATTTTTGGCTCCTGGAATGGGTACCACATTCTCCTGACAAATCAACCAATTTAGAACCACCTGCAATCAATAAATAAACAATCACCTGCAAATTTCATCATGAATTCTTTTTATAGATTGTAAAGATGGCGCCCTTCTCTTCGTAAAGAAAAGGAATATTCTTATTACTTATCATGTAATTCCTATGTATTAAACATCTAGCACCTAAAATTTACTTTTTTTACGTTTATACCAAGCAAGTATTTCATACCACATCAAAAATATCACTAAATTAACTTTGGAAAGGTGAAATACGCCATTTTATGGTTAGGTATATATATGTACAAATTGAAGCTTAGGTGTTAGATAAGTAAATAAATATGAATTGAGTGGCATGTATGTAAATCTTCCAACAAATAAAAGCCTGGAACAAAAGATAGAACCTGTGTGGACGTTTTTCCGTAGTTCTGTCCAATCTTGTTAATTCTGTTCAGAAGAGGTTGCAGCTGCGTAAAGAATAATAAGCTTCAGCATGAATGGTGTTAACTGATGTCAAGAAGGCATAGAAGAGAAATGGATATTGCCTTTGTGAGGAACTCAGGAGTGTAAATGCGGCCCCGAGGACCAGTTGGGGGTTTCTCTGGTGTGTACTTCCCTGTCAGGGCTCCTGAACATAATGAAGAAGTTTTCAGAACTCCTGAATGAATTTATTAACTTTAATTGCTTAAATGCACATCCACAGGATTTGAGAATTTGTGTAAAAGAGGATTGTAATTTTTTGAATTGGGAAGTTGAAAAAACAAATGTTGTCTTCTGTTGCATGTTGTGCCCTCAAAAAATTCGATGATCAGGGCCTCCCTCAAGAAGAAATAAAATGAGCGAAAGATGAGAGAATTTATCGTGAGGCTTCAATTCAAATTTTTAGAAGGCAAATAAAGCAGTGGACAAGAAACTACCCAAAGATTTCACCGTCATTTTGCGATGACTTTAAGATCAAAAATTCAAAATTTCCCATGGGAACAAGCCCCTATAATTAATTACCCTTCCCCATAATAGGAGAGTATTTCTGATCAAAGCTACTCATTAAGCGCTAAAGAATTAGTCTTAGCATATAGTAGCAACGAATTTATGATTTGAAATTATTTTCATTATTAGCTTAGAGGGAATGGTGAGGGAAATAATGATGAATCCGATCAAGATCTTGGTTTTGTCATCCAAGGATGTCATGATTCTGGATGTACCTAGTCAAACGAGACAGTCGGCCCAGCTTTCACAAAATAATCCTTGTTAGCAGTCATGAGTTGTCTAGTCAAAGGGAAACTTGTAAACCTGGGATGAATGCTCGTCTAAGGGGACAACTTTAAGTCACCTAAGCTTATAGAAGGTTACGTGCCCTATTAGGTATACCCTATAATATATAACTCAAATAAGAAAACTATTAGGAAACATACATGCTACAACTCTGATTGCAAAATAATAGAGCATACTGCTAAATCACCTGATGGAATATACTAATCAAATCACCTAATAGTGTCTACTGGCCAAACTACCAAATGGAGTCCATTGGTCAAATCATTTGATAGCATTAATTGACTAGACCAACCGGTTAGAGGGCTTTATTCATAACCACTTCTTTATAGAGTCGTTGAGTCAAACCATGTAGATAAATGACCACATCCTTACTAACATGAGTTCATTTTGAGTGTAAATTTAGTAGTATAATTGATTAGTTTAGATTTCTTTGATTTCCGAATAGACCCCACGTATTAACATGCACAATAAATATACATACTCATGAATTTGATATCTTTGAACTTTATTAGCTCCGTCCTACCTATAGAGAATCAAGTTCAAAAATTATATTAATTGAAATTCAAATAAGCTTCAAAAATTTAATCTTTAAAGTAAACCCTTTCGGTTGAGATTTACATTCAAGACAGTCATTATCGAGGATTTTAAAAGTATTTATAATTATAATTTTAGTTGTGCATTATCATTTGAATATTAATAGAGCATTTTCCCTATCAACTCTATTCATTTTAAAGAGGATGATTAAACTGGCTAAATGAAGATTTAATCTCGCTAACTCCAGTCCTATGAAAATAGGAACAGTTTAGCCAAGATAGGACTTATAATTGTCCTATAGACAAAGTGGGCCACTCGAGAGTGTGCATTATTCAATAATTTTTAAAGCTCTTTTAGAAAGAAGAAAAAATTATCAATACTTGAAGGTTTTACACGCTTCTTAAGGTATATTATATTTTAAGTGATTTATTTTTTCCCTGTGTAGCATTCTCAGATCATATATATAAGTATTCATCACACCAGTTGAAACATATGCGAGCATATTATTTTTTTAGTTTGGGCTGACTTTTAGAGGATATTATTATTATTTGCACGGATGTGTCATCATCAAAATATGTGCAAAGATTTTATTTTAAACATTCAATTACAATTACTTGTGTTACGAATCTAAAGGTGATTAAAACGTCTTATTGTATATTCAAAAAAATATATTTATTCATTATGCTCAACCCTCAAATCATTGTAAATGTGTTATTTCGATTATTGTAATTCACTTGAAATAATATATGTTATATTTTGAATATTTATTTAGGCGAGCTATTAAATAACTACAAGCTTTATTCGAGCTCACTAATAAGTCATCTAACCCCGCTGTGAGTCACGTGCAGGTTTAATTTGTGCTCAACTTCATTCTTTTGAGTAATTTATATAATAGTTTTCAGACTCAATTTTGTTTTTAACTTTAGTTTAAGAATTCCATTTAATTTTATATTAGTTAAAACAATTTGCAATTCAACTATTTTTTATAAGTGATGTTCACACAAAATTTTGCCAGCCTCTCGGCATCATCCTCACTTAGGGGGGTTTTACCATCACACATTGTGAGACATCACGACAAAAATATTTTTTAATCCACCACACCTAACAACATGAGTCTAGACCTTCATTACTTGCAAAGAAGTAAAAGAGGATTTCTCCATTGCATTGGAACAACTTGCATGTCTACTCAAAGCAATTTTTTTTCTACCAAATTGGGATAATCAGAATGGATACTTAATTTGCATTTTATAATTTTATTAACATTTTTTTATTGTTCATTTTTATCACTTGTTTGGGTCCTATCAGTCTGAATTTCAATAGTCTCCCGGCATTATACTCGCTTGGGGGTTACCTCGAGAGCTATGTCCTACCACAAAACCTAACAAGGTGAACTAACAAAATACGCAAAGGTCTTCAATACCTTAAAAAAACAAAACAGGATTTCCTTACCACGTTAGAATAATGTGAATGGGTAACTAAAGCAAGTTTTCCAGCCGAATTGGAAGGAGCTGAACATGTGCTTAACAAGCTATGAGTTTCCATGATACACCATTTGCGGAGCTTGCAGATGCCACAAAAGCAAAGGCTCCCATGCCAGCTCACTTTGAAGATCTTGATTCCTTCGTTAGTTTTTCAGACGTTACGGCTACAAAACATATTGAAGAGAAGCTTAAAACCTCTGTTGTGCGCTTTAAATTTTATATTTATCTTGGAATTGGGCATGTTTTAATGAACGATACTCACAAGGGGAAAAAAAGGAAAGAGGAGAAAAAACCAATTTCTTGAAATTCGTGCCGGATCGCCACTCCATCATTAACACTTCACGTCATATATAAGGCTTACACAAAGATGTTAAGTACTTGTTCTCGTTATTCCAACAAGTCAGGAAAATTTGCCTGCTGTAAGTATCCTTTCCCATTGTTCCAATGAGGAAGAGAAATGCTATGCAAAATCCAACTACGCCAACCTTGTGCGAACCATTGGCCTTGAGCCATTTAACTAAGCATCAAAATTCTTGACTGCATCTGGCTAGTCCAACTTGCCCCTCAAATGCTGAGCCTCACCAACTTCAGGAGCAACTTCTCCACTGTATTTGTCTAGAATTAGAGCTTTGTAACCAGGAACCAAAATATCAATCTTCTAAGCATGATTTTCTTTTAGCTTGACATCAATTCTGCACGACTCCTGCACCGCCACTACACCTGGTGCATTTTCTTTCTCAACTATTATTCTGTGTAGTCTGATGTGGGCTCCGAAAATTCACGACCGCCTTCAAGACAGTTCTCTGCATTTTTTTTATTTTTTGTTTTGAGAGAGAGCCTTGGATTATATTGTAGATAGGACTCTGCTGAGAGATTTCGCCTTCATTTAGGGAAGACTTTTTTATCTGGGGTTCAAGGTTTCCCATATGTGCAAGCCCCTATGGTTAATTATATTTCTCGGTAACAGAAGAACACTTTAGATTAAGGCTAGTTATTAATAATTGAATATTCCACATATAATAGCAACAAACTTAGGATTTAAGTTGTAGAATTTATCACTTAAAGCTTAAAGCGGATGATGGAAGAATAAAGAAGAAACCAAATCAAGATCCCATAGTTCCGCCATCCTTGGTCGTCGTGATCCCTGATCTACTTAGTTAGAGGAGGTAGTCAACCCAACCTGACATAAGAATTTTTCTCAGCAACCATGAGTTTGGTCGTCTAAGTTATCTCTGTAGATCTGGGATAAATATTTCTCTAACGGGACAAATTTAAGTCGATATTAGCTAACATAACACTTTGTGTAAATCAATTAACCCTTATGATTCACATCTTAAAGAGCCAAAAACGTTAGAGAACAAATGAGCTGTGGCTGTGATCGTAATATAATGATGTTATTTATTGACAACCATTCGATCAGAAAACTCTGATCGTAACTGCTATTTTGTGGTCTCATTTAATTGTAGAACCACACAGACAGAGGACTCAGGTCATGTATTTAGTGACATGTAATTATTTTGATTGTGAATATATTGATTCATTTGATATAAAATTCGCACATTGTGAGCTGAAGTCAATCAAAAGTTTGTCACCTTCGACAAACTGTTGCAAAGGGCATATGAAATTTGCTTAAAACTTTTAAGTGATTGAACTTTAACTTGAATATTTGGTTATTTACATTGAAAATCTTAATTTAAAAGATTGACCATTATGATTGAAAACTTCGATCAACACGACCATCATCGGAGAATTGAATATTTTAAAACTTTTATATTTGAAGGGGACAATTAATTTGATATTTTCAAGTATAAATCCTGTCAACTCCTGTCATTTTAAAGAGGAGGATCGAACTATGTGATTTGGACTTGTAAATTCTTATTTTAGGATTTGGACATTTAGTAGGGCTTACTAGACTCGTCAACTCCAGTCCATACGAAGAGGAGGATCAAACTAGTGGGGTGAAGCTTAGAACTCTATCCTATAACTAAGGCGACTCGATTAGCCCGCGCAACAGTCTCAAACTTAATACTTAAACATTTAATATTTTGGTTGGAGCACATGCGAACTTTTAAATTTCATATATTTGAGTTATTTCAGTTGGAACAATTGATATCTTAAGACACTTTATATGATTTAAAGCATGAATTGAATTAAAGATTGTTTTAAATGACATTTTTAAGAATTGAAATTACATAAATTGGTTTCAGCTGAATATATATACACTAATACATATATATTCACTTTGATCATTTGAAAACCGTCTTCTATTTGCCAGCACATGTATTGTAAATTTGGTGGCGGGAATTCAAAATCAAACTTAGTTCCTCAATTTGGGGTATTT